TCTGCCTTCTGCCCCGTGAGGACACAGCATTCCTCCCCTCTGGAGGTCATGGCAGTCAAGGCGCCATCTTGGAAGCAGAGATCGGACCCTTACCAGAAAATGAACCTGCCTGTGCCTGGATCTTGACCTTGGCCCAGTCTCCAGACTGCTAAAAATAAGTTTCTGTTTTTTTTCTTTCTTTCTTTCTTTTTTTTTTTTTTAACAAATTATCCAGTCTGTGGTATTCTGTTAAAGCAGCACAAACAAAGACAGGGTCTATAAAGGGACAATTAGGTTAAAATGAAGTCATTAGCGTGGGCCCCATCTAATATGACTGCTGTCCTCATGAAAAGCACAAATTAAGACAGACACACAGAGAGGAAAGACCCTGTGAGGATACAGGGTGAAGATGGCCATGTACAACCCCAAGAGAGGCCTCAAAAGAGATGAACCTTGTGGACACATTGGCCTTGGATTATAGCCTTCAGAATTGTGAGAACAACTTCTGTTGTTTAAGTCACCCAGTCTGTGGTACTCCATTACAGCAGCCCTACCAAAGCAATACGAGAAATATCTGGTAACATTTACTCTTTTGAACACGGGGAATTAACTAATTCTATAAGAGAAAGGGGATAAAGGGAGCAATAGAAGAGATTGGATAAAAACAAGAAGATGAATTTCAGGAAATAGTGGAGCTAGCAATAAGAGGATAAGAAAAAGTGGCCGGGCACGGTGGCTCACGCCTGTAATCCCAGTACTTTGGGAGGCTGAGGTGGGCGGATCGCGAGGTCAGGAGATCAAGACCATTCTGCCTAACACAATGAAACCCCGTCTCTACTAAAAATACAAAAAATTAGCCGGGCGTGGTGGCGGGCGCCTGTAAGTCCCAGCTACTCGGGAGGCTGAGGCAGGAGAATGGTGTGAACCCGGGAGGCAGAGCTTGCAGTGAGCCGAGATCACACCACTGCACTGTAGCCTGGGCGACAAAAAAAAAAAAAAAAAAAAAGCACCAGGGATCCCCAACATGAACTTTTGCTGAGGAAAGAAAATCAAGATTACTTACTCCAACAGGGACGCCTTTGTCTTGAGACAGTGGAGAAAACTTCATGAGCTCAATGAGAAAGAGGCAAGGAAGAAGCAGGAGAGAACTTTAGGGAAGTGAATGGAATGAAACTAAAAGGAAATAAGCAGCACTATGGAGATACCTCAGCTACTGGAGACAGAGTACAGGAAAGGGAAGTAACATGAATCCCAAGATTAAAGAAAGTAAAACATGAAGAATGTGAGGGAGTAAAAGGAGTTCGAAGGAAACCTGGAGGAGCTAAAAACGAACCATACACATATGGGCCAAGTGTTATGTAAGTGAGAAACAGGTCACTGAGAGAGCATTAGATCATTCAAACTCGGAGTCACAGTTTATGGGGATCAGAAAACAAAGGAAATAGGGTTTAATTTTAAAATAAGAAACAGGCTGGGCGCGGTGGCTCATGCCTGTAATCCCAGCACTTTGGGAGGCTGAGGCAGGTGGATCATGAGGTCAGGAGTTCGAGACCGACCGACATAGTGAAACCCCATCTTTACTAAAAATACAAAAATTAGCTGGGCATGGTGGCATGCACCTGTAATCACAGCTACTCAGAGGGCTGAGGCAGGAGAATCACTTGAATCCGGGAGGTGGATTTTGCAGTGAGCTGAGATTGTGCCATTGTACTCCAGCCTGGAGAACAGAGTGAGACTCCATAAAAATAAAATAATAAAATAAAGTAAAAGTAAAAATAAAATAAGAAACAAAGTTATATGGGAAGACTGGACTCGGACATCAACTTTTTAAACCTTTCCTGGATCCTGTGAGCCAATAAATTCCTCTTTTTGTCTAAATTAGTTCAAGTTAGGTTACTGCCTTTCAAAACCAACCAAAGTAAAAAAATAACTATAAATGGAGGAGGAGTGAGACATCTCTTTTTGGCTATATTGAATAGATGAGATATAATTTACCTAAAGTGTAGTTTACAGACAAGCCAGTCACCACACAGCCCATTTCTGGGGGGAGCTGCGGAGCCTGCAGGTCCTACTAAGAAGGTCGCCATGTTCTATGCCACGTTCTCTATCCAGCCTCTAGAACCCCTCAGCCCCCAGTTCCCCAGCTCAGCTGACTAGAATCAGCAATGTGCTCATGATCCAAAGGCCATCGAATTTTCTATGGGTTTATGGCCCACGAGGAGGTTTAGCACAGAACCTCTGTTTTAGTAAGGATACTATTGAGTCAAACAGCCATTATTACCTAGAAAATTCGTGTGGAACTGACAAATTGTGAATAAGTTGAAGTTTTGAGTTATCAGAAAGGATGAGTGAGCAGTTATGAACAAGCAGAAGCTATAGGTAAGCCAAAATCAAAAGGTATTTATAGGAGAGTTGAAAAATTAGTAGAAATGGGAATGGTAGCAGTACAGATGGAGGGATGCTGAGTCACTGTATCTATGGGATCCCTGAATTTGCCAAGGCAACAAGAAGATGACTCAGATCGGTGACTCTTCCACTGGATGCTTCTAGTTCCTGAGTGACTTCCAGAGTCCAAGAGGCCCAGCTTGACAGCTTTTCTTGATACATCAGAAGATTCTTAAAGTCCTTATTTCCATAAATACCGTCATGATACCCCTGCTCCCATCACCCAGATGAACCACTGTTCTTTGTAGTGAAATGGTCTTAACAAACATCTCAATAATAACATTGGCTAACACTTATTTAACATGTATTATGTGCCAAGCACTGAGATATTAATTTGACACATTGTACCTCACTTAATTTTCTGAACAATCCTACAAGGCAGGTACATATTATTCTTATCAATTTATGGATGGAGAAACCTAACTTAGAGAGGTTACCTTGCTTGTCCAAGTCACATCTTCTGTGGGGGAGCTAAGTCTGAAGCAGAGCTGTATAACTCTGGAGTTCAAACATGTAATTATATTTAACTTCTCTCAAGTTACTCAGTTCCCTTGGGGTCATTTCGGATGTACAGAGTGGAAGTAATTTAAGTCATAAAATCAGAAATGTAGCAACCAGAACTAACAGGGAAAAAAAGACTCATCATGAATATCATGTGTTATAAAATAATCATGTGTCTTGCTGAAACTTCATAAAAGAGAAGTTCTAGAAAGTTCTCCCAAACAAGAAATGGTGAATGGGAATAATTACTAATTTCAGACACATAATATGTGCCAGATGTATTATCCTATTTGAACAAATGGTTAAGGAAAATATGTATTCTTTCTAGTTTAATAGTGGCCTCAGTTTTCCTAATTTGCTTCATAAAGTCTTATGCTCTTGACAGGGAATTCTCCTACAAAGGGGTTTTCTGAAATCAACCATGGATGTAGAGAAGAGACTACTTTGCATTAAAAAAAAAGAGAAATGAAACTGTAGAGTTAAAAGGAAAAAAAAAATGTGGCCAGGCACGGTGGCTCACGCCTGTAATCCCAGCACTTTGGGAGGCTGAGACAGGCGGATCATCTGAAGTCAAGAGTTCAAGACTAGCCTGGACAACATGGTGAAACCCTTTCTCTACTAAACGTACAAAAATTAGCTGGCTGTGGTGGCGTGCACTTGTAGTTTCAGCTACTCAGGAGGCTGAGGCAGGAGAATTGCTTGAACCCAGGAGGTGGAGGTTTCAGTGAGCTGACTCTGTACCACTACACTCCAGCCTGAGCAACAGAGCAAGACTCAGTCTCAAAATAAATAAATATATAAATAAAATAAAAAATGTTATGTGTAAGAAAAATAAGCTGTGAGATATGAAGTGTAAGATATCAACTCTTCTAATTATGCTGCATTAATAACTAAAATTTATTTCTCAAAAACTGGAAAATTTAGCAGAGATGTAGCTATTTAAAAATGAATAATAATGTTAAATATGTGTTTGCTCCATGAGGGCATAGATTTTTGTGTTTCCTTCACTGCTGGATCCTTAGAAGCTGGAACAGACTATGTTATATAGTAGATGCTCAATAAAAATCTGCTAAATAGAACCAATAAATGACTTAACTCAGAAGACCGAGATTATTCTCTGAATTGTATCTCTAAATGATATATGAGCAAGTCATTTAGCATATTTAGATGCAAGTTTTATTTATTTATTTGTGGGATTTTTGCTTTTTAAAATATACTGCAAGGAGATGGAATTTGTTCTACTAGACATAAAACCTAACGGTATGGTACTGGTTTAGGAACAGGCAATAAGTCAAAGGAACAGACTAGAAAATTTAGAGAGAGACTTTGAATACACACACACACACACTTAGTATTTTAAATAACATCAATATATAATATAAAATGAATTGGTTTATGACATCTGGTCATTGATTAGGACCAATCATATTAATTCCCTCTCAAGCCATATACAAAGCTACATTCCAGATAGATCAAGGACTTGAACATTTTTTAATAAAAAAGCAAAGTATGGTCAGGCATGGTGGCTCATGTCTGTAATCCCAGCACCTTGGGAGGCCGAGGTGGGTGGATTTCTTGAGGCCAGGAGATCGAGACCAGCCTGGCAAACATGGCAAAACCCATCTCTATTAAAAATACAAAAATTAGCCAGGCACGGTGGTATACACCTGTAATCCCAGCTACTACTCAGGAGGCTGAGGAATGAGAATCACTTGAACCCGGGAGGTGGAGGTTGCAGTGAGCTGAGATCGCCCCACTGCACTGCAGCCTGTGTGACAGAGTAAGACTCTGTCTCAAAAAAAAAAAAAAAAAAAAAAAAGCAAAGTATAAAACCACTAGGAACAAAATTCACAAATTCATAGAAATGTTTTTATAACCTTACCATGGTATACCCTTTATAAGAGTAATGCCAGGCTAGGCACAGTGGCTCATAGCTGAAATCCCAGCACTTTGGGAGGCTTAGGCAGGTAGATCACTTGAGCCTAGGAGTTGGAGACCAGCCTGGGCAACAATAGTAAGACCCTGTCTCTATGAAAAAACAAAAAAAGAAATTAACTGGGTGTGGTGGTACACACCTATGGTCCTAGCTACTTGGGAGGTTGAGGTAGGAGGACTCTTTGAGTCCTGGAGGCAGAGGCTGCAGTGAGCCATGACTGCACCACTGCACTCTAACCTGGGTGACAGAAAGATACCGTGTCTCGAAACAGTATTTTAAAAGAGAGTAACACCAAAGCCAAAACTATAAATAAAACAGATTAATGTATGAACAATTATATGCATTAGAGTGCAGGAGAAAATAAAAAGTGTTATGGAATTAAGAGGAAAACTTGGACAAATGAAGATGGTACCATACATCCAGGCTAATTATGTTACTTTAAAATATTTCTTATGCCTGTCACAGTGGCTCACATCTGTAATCCCAGCACTTTGGGAGGCTGAGGTGGGAGAATTGCTTGAGCCCAGGTGTTCGAGACCAGCCTGAACAACACAGTGAGAACCTGTCTCTATGAAAAATAAAAAATTAGCCAGGCATGGTGCCATGCACCTGTGGTCCCAGCTGCTCAGAAGGTTGAAGTGGGAGGGTCACTTGAACGCAGGAGGTTGAGGCTGCAGTGATGGCACCACTGTACTCCAGCATGGGCAACAGAGTGAGACCCTGTCTCAAAAATAAAATAAATAATATATTTCTTAAATTATGAAACTATTATCACATTCTCAAAACTTTAGGGAAATAGAAAATAGAAGAAAATCCCCTGATTATAACACAATGACTATCATTTTTGTTTATTCCCTTGCAATATTTTTCATAGGAATTTTTTTGTTAAGATATTTCACATGCCATAAAATCCACTCCTTTAGAGTGTACAATTTAGTGGATTTTAGTATATTCACAAAGATGTGTAAGCATTACCACTCTTTAATTCCAAAATGTTTTCATCCCCCACCCCAGAAAAAATGATGACAACACATTAGCAGTTACTGTTCATCCCCCTCCCTCAGCCCAAATCTACTTTCTGTCTCTATTTGTCATAGGCATATTTTAAACCCATTTGAATTGTAGAAGCCTCCCTTGTTTCATTTAACTGTGTCAGAAACAAGCTTTCCATAAGTGAATAGTCTTCAAACTTTTGTATAGAAAAATCAACTCTAAAATGTTTGCAGAGGGCAAAAAATAAAAGGAAGAAAAACAGAAATAAAAAGGATCATTCCAGGATACCAATTAAAAGACAAAAATATAGACAATTTACTAAAAAGTATACAATACAGGTCAAGAAGTGAATAAGGATTCTTTGATTCTTCCACTTTCTTAGTAAACTTGCTTTCACGAAAAAAAAAAAAAAAAAAAAAAAAAAAAAGTGAAAAGGCACTAGGTCAGATTATTGAAGAAAGGAACATTTTCTTGGGTCTGATGATTTTACTATTGTGTTATCTTCAAAAATTTTTTTTTAACGAAAGCAGTACATGCACATATTTACAAAAAAGTCAACAATGCTTAAGAGCTTATTGTAAGAGGTAAGAAAGCTTTGCTGCTCTATCCTGCCCCCAACCCACCCCTATGCCTTCCACTCAAACCCTAGAACCAAGTCTGACTTTTTAACGGCTACAGTTTTAAAAATTCTCCTGGGTGGTTACTTCCCTATCTCTAAATACTACAGTCATATCGCCACTTCTTTATTTATCAGACAGACAGGCTTTATCTGTGGACTTCCTTCCTATTCTGATAGATGAGAACTCAGTTCACTTACACCCTCCTCCCTCCCGATATGGATGTCTCCTTATTTTTAGTTCCTCTATTGTAATTTTAGGTAACTTATTTACTTGAGTTCCTCTTTGTAATTTTCTTAATATATGAATATTCGCTTCCTGTTCTGCTAACTGTAACTTGTATCTCTCAAGTCCCCACTTTGCGTGGGTCCTCTTCCCTTCTACTTCCAAAATTCTCTCTGCATGTTGTTTTCTATAAGATTTCAACAGAATAAGTGAAAAAGTTCAAATGACCAGCACAATGGAATATGACGTTTTAACAATGGCATTCAAAAAACTGTGAAGTTGTTCACGCGCATAAGCAAGAAACTAATAAAGGAACACACATCCATCCATCTTTCAGCTTTTTCAAATCTTAACATTATCACACATTTGCTTCCCTTTAAAGAGAGAAAACACTGTCAATCCACTGAGGCCCCATGTACTATTGATTGTATTTCTCTCCTACCTCAATGTTCATCATTATATAAAAATCGCTCTTATTCACTCAGCATTTACCATTCTACCACTTGATTTTATACTTTTGACACATACTTTGGCATCCATAAACATTATGTATTAGGCTGGGCATGATGGCTCACGCCTGTAATCCTAGCATTTTGGGAGGCTGAGGCGAGTGGATAGCTTGCCCTCAGGAGTTTGAGACTAGCCTGGGCAACATGGTGAGACCTCGTCTCTACGAAAAATACAAAAATTATCCAGGTGTGGTGGTGCACACCTGTAATCCCAGCTATTCAGGAGGCTGAGGCAGGAGAATCACTTGAACTTGGGAAGTGGAGGTTGCAGTGAGCTGAGATTGTGCCACTGCACTACAGCCTGGGTGACAGAGCAAGACTCTGTCTCAAAAAAAAAAAAAAAAAAAGTGTAATATACAGTTTTGTATGTCACACTTAAAATTTAACATTTTTATTGGCACAATTTCATTCATTAGACTTACCATTCTGAATATCATTTGATAGTGTGCTTAACATCCTAATTGCTTACTATTATAAATGATGCTGCTATGAGTACTTTGGGTATTCTTAGCATAAATGGGGGAAAGGAATGCTAAGAAAAATTAGCAAATAAATTTTTAAAAGAAAAAAGATAAATGTGGGAGATTTAGAATTTACCTTTGGATTCAATGGAACTGGGTCCTGTTTCTTATACATTAATTATGTTTTAGCCTAACCTAGTAGCTATGAAGTTCTACTCACAGAATTAAAAAAAAAATCTGGAGACATTTATAAATGAGAAAAAGCATAGATGATAATAAAAAAAATACATGTACCTCCTACAATTAATCAATGTTCAGCACAATATTTTTTTTTTTTTTTTTTTTAGAGGCAGGGTCTTGTTCTGTCACCCAGGCTGGAGTGCAGTGGTATGATCATGATCATGGCTCATTGCAGCCTTGAACTCCTGGGCTCTGGCAACCCTCCTGCCTGAGCCTTCTGAGTAGCTGAGACTACAGATATGGGCCACCACACCTGGCTAATTCTTAATTTTTTTTTGTAGAGATGAAGTCTTGCTATGTTGACCAGGCTTGTGGGAGTTCAGTCAGGCTGGTGGAAAAAATTTTAAAGATAGTTATAAGAAATAGAGCAAACCTTCTTGGAAGTCTGTGGGGGTTTACATCGCTTCAGTAACAGATTTGGCTGAAGACAGCCTAATCCTCTCTACCTTTAGCTGACAGCAAAAAAGCAAATAATAAGGGAATATGGGGAAGTTTATCTGAATAGCTTGTTTACTCATGTCGTCCTAAAACCAACCTTTGATCAACCTCAGGTGTATAATTGCTCTCTATTTGGGGGTTGAGCAATGTTAATTACCCTCTAGTGGTGTTTACTCGAGACCTTTGTCATTTAATCTGTACTAAATAAATGCGAACTTTGCTAGCTTATTGAGGTGATGCTCCAGACCAACAGCAGAGCCCCTTAGCTAGACTGACAGGCAAAATATCTGTGTCAGTGTACGTCTCTCATCTATCACTGGGTCAGGGTCTGCGGGCTGGATTCCTGCACAGGCTGGTCTCAAACTCCCGGGCTCAAGCGATCCTCCTGCCTGAGCCTTCTGAGTCGCTGAGACTACAGATATAGGCCACCACACCTGGCTATTTTTTAAATTTTTTAGTAGAGATGAAGTCTTGCTGTACAGCCCAGTCTAGTCTTAAACTCTTGGGCTCAAGAGCTCCTCCTGCGTTGGCCTCCCAAAGTGCTGGAAGTACAGGCATGAATCACGGTGCCGAGACAGACACGTTTTTAAAAATAAAGGAATACTCCTGAAACGCTGAAGTCTTCTTTGTACCCCTTTGTGATAACATGAGTAGCCTCTTAATGACACCAAGGAACAAGTTAGTCCCAAAGTAGCTCACATAAATGGTGATAGAGGAATGAGGGGTGGGTGTGATCTATGCAAAAAACCTTTTCTCTTTAACGGGTTGCTGTTTCTAACATAATTGCAGTAGTACCCTATGTTGCTATAATGCATTATAGTTTTCAATGTGCTTTTGTGGCCTCCATAATAGAGGGGTTGTGAGGTAAGCTTCAACCACAGCTGCCCCACTCCCCAAGAGAGGATACACAATGATGAATAGGTGAATTTCTGCCTCTTAGTTTCTTAGCTGGGGAGGGGCACTTACTGGAACAGCACAGAAAACAGAGTCTTTGGCCCAGTTGGGGAATCTTTATCAGGTTATGCTACTTCAAGCTTTCCTCCTGTTAAATGTGAGAGGAATAAATCCCTGTTCCTTGGATCAGTGTGACTCTGAAACAGCTGGAGGAGAGACAGTTTTAGGCAGGTTGAAACAGAGAGCTCCAGCATATGTACTTTTTTTTTTTTTTTTGAGATGGAGTCTCGCTCTATCGCCCAGACTGGAGTGCAGTGGTGTGATCTTGGCTCACTGCAAGCTCCAGCTCCTGGGTTCATGCCATTCTCCTGCCTCAGCCTCCTGAGTAGCTGGGACTATAGGCGCTCGCCACTACGCTTAGCTAATTTTCTCGTATTTTTAGTAGAGACAGGGTTTCACCGTGTTAGCCAGGATGGTCTCGATCTCCTGACCTCGTGATCTGCCCACCTCGGCCTCCCAAAGTGCTGGGATTACAAGCGTGAGCCACCCGCCTGGCCTCAGCATATGTAATATTAGGAGAAAAGATTTCTAAGGATTAACAAGAGAGCAATGCTGGGCATGGAACATCTCCTCCAAATAAAGAAAGCAGCACTTTCTAAAGCTCAAGCTGATTTGAAAGTTGCTGAATCGAATGGAGCTTTGAAAATAGAAACAGGGGCTACATATAATATGATAATACTGGGCTTGCTCCACTTTTCCAGGGATCCAGGTGCACATTGCTGGGTCCCAGGCTGGTTGATGCTGGCAAACTATAAGACAAGCATGGAGAAGAAAATACATGGTGAAAAGTAAAGACAGAA